TTCAGCAGCAACATTTGCAGCCTTTTCTCCTCTTCAATAGACTGATCCAATTCCTCATATGCCATGTTAAGCATGTCTTTTTCATCAGCACACTCAGCCATGAGTGACTTGAGACCATCAATCTCCTTAAATGTCAAAATGGGTCAATGTTTTTCAATTCTTATTCCAATTACGGAGCACATTAAATGATCATATAGAGTATACACTAAAACACCACTTATGGGTGAAAAGCTGCTAAAGCCATCAAAATGAAAGCAACGCAGCAGAGCAGCACTATCAAGTTAATACGGAGGGGGGTAATAAAAAAACCTATTGTACTTTTAGGATTCATATTCTTTTGTTTTCGCCCTTATGTTCATTGATTCATATTCATGTTCTTTGGCCAACCAACATGATTCATTTTTAACATCTGAATTGGCGGTATGTTTCAGTTTGAGCCATAATCCAACACACATCGAACTATCCAATGATAAGCTACTTACAATGCACATGGTATTCTAATGTACAACCTAGTTTCTGCACAATAGGAATGATAATAAAAGGAGAAGGTATATACCTTCTGCTTTGCTCTCAAGTCATGTATTAAGTCCACGGAACTTCTGAGTTTCCTAAAGTCCTTATTGGCTCTGGCATACTCGGTTGGTGAGGCATCAGGCTGTCTTCATTCATGACCAAAATTAAAATTTAAATAAAAATAAAATAAAAAAATAAAAAAAATAAAGCAACCAGGAGACGAGTTCTACTAGTAATCTGTCTGTGAAAAATGTAATTCCCATAAGAAACGCAGATGTATTTAAAAGAAAGGATGAGCAATTAGCAATCACCTTATTAATGATATCCTGAAGCAAGGCACTCCTTCGCTCAATAGCTGACAACCTTTGCTCCATAATTTGAATGATGTCAGCTGATAAATGAGGCTGATTTTCTGCCAATTAACAAGACTGAGCTAAATATGAACAGCAGCAAGTTTAGTTTACTGGGAATTGATGGTATGAAGAAGAGAAAACAAACCAGATGTGAAAAAGCGTAAAAACTCAGCGGCGACAACCTTCGATCCAATAAAACCTGCTGGTATGCGAGGTGACATTTTTGACCAATTCCTAGAACCTAACCCTAACCCTAACCCTAACCCAAATCTCAGGTAATTTCTCATTTCTTCCTAGTTAGCAACAGAAGGATTCTTCTTCGTCGTCTTCAAATCCTCACTCACTTCATTACCTCCGCTCCGAAATACAGTTTGTCGCAGCATGGTCTGGAAAAGGAACGAAGGACTGAATTTTTTTACCAATTTTTTTTAAGGAGTTAGACATTCGTCATGGAGATATTGGGGTAGGTAAAAGAATTGGAAGAGAAAAAAAAAATCAAATTAATAAAAGTACTCCCTTCATTTTATTTATTTTTTTTCCATCACTTCCATTATACTCCCTCCGTTTTTAATTATACTCCCTCCGTTTTTAAATACTTGTTTCATTTCCTTATTTGAAAAGTTTTTATAATATTAAACTAATTTCTCTCACCTAATGGACTCAATATATATTCTCTCTCCTTCAATTCTCTCCCCTACTTTTAATTTATACAATTTTTTATTCTTCTACCCACCCCACTACCTCCATATTTTATTACTTTCTCCAATTTCTCCTAAAACTCCGCACATGGAGAAATGGAGCAAGTATTTAAAAACGGAGGAAGTAGTAGCTTTAGGCCCTCTCTAATGGTGAGAGTGTGAGACTCAAGTGAGTATTTTGAGGAGAGAGAGTATTTTTTACAATGTATACCAATAAGTTGATATCTAAACTTAGCAACTTCAAAATAAACTTAACTTTGAGTCTCATTTGACAAAAAATGTAGGCCCTTTGTCAATATTTTATTATATTTTGTAATTTATTTAAATTTTACCTTTTTTTTAATCTTACAATATTTGATAATAAAAAAAAATGGATTTGGTGAGCCATAATTGAAAGTGTATTTTAGAGAGTCTCACCATTGAGAAATTAGGTTTCACATGAGTTGCTAAATTGAGAAGTGAGTATGGTATCACCATTGAAGGTAAAAAACAATTTGTTTTGTATTTCAATACTCAATTTGAGTCTCACCATTGGAAATGGTCTTATATATATTTTATTATTTCTCTTCCTTACTTTAAACACCAGTCAAATAATTTATCATTCGCTCTCTCATGGTCCTCAGAGCATTCCCAACAATGAACAAAAAAATGCTCATGAGCAAAACTTTGGGTGAAATTAAAACAAAAATGACTTACATCAATGAGCAAAAGTAAAAATGCTCATAAGCAAAATGAAAATTGCTCATAGGATGAGCAATTTTTAAGATGAATAGTAATCATGTGGGGTCCACAATGCAAGTAAAAAAAAATTAAAAATAATATAGTAGAGAGAAATATAAGAGGGTATTAGTAAAAGTAAGAGAGAAGATTTACTAGAGAGAGAATGAGAAAGAAATTTTTTTTGGGTTTTTCTAAGCTATACCCCTAAGGTATTCGAGTTTCTAAGGTGTACTCATGCTTTTTCAAGTTTCTAAGTTGTGCCCTTAAACTCCTTATCAATACTAAAATGTACCCTTATTAATTAGTTGTTTAAAAGTTATTTGAGAGTGTGATTTAGTGGCTTCAGTTTTCATTATTAGGGTTACGGTGGCTAAGATTTCTTTCTCCTACCATTTCCTTACCTTTTATCATATTTCTGTTAAATTTATAGTTAACTTTAGGTGACGTGGAAGTCGCAAGGAGGGTACCATTCATTAATGGTAGTGAGTTGAGGGGCACAACTTATAAACTTGAAAAGGCATGGGTACACCTTAGAAACTCGAATACCTTAGGGATATAGCTTAGAAAAACCCATTTTTTTTTTATCATTGATAGGATAAAACTATGGTCACAAAAATGCTCATGGGTTGGAAGAGAGAGAAAGTGGGTAGAGAGAGAATGAGGAAACCAATTTTTGCTCATTGTTGGGAATGCTCTCACTACTTTCTCTTTTATAATTTCACTTTTATGGTCTCCATATTACTTTTACCATAATAAAGTATTCATCTACTCTCATTATTATATTATACCAAATTCATTCTCCTAAAACTCCGTGCAAACACAAGTGATGCAAATAAAAAACGGAGGGAGTATGATTTATGTTAGGTCTAAGCTTTCCAAATAAGAAAATAGAGTAAGTATTTAAAAACGGTTGCAAATGAATGAATAGTAGAACAAGTATTTTAAAAACCGAAGAAGTACAAAGTACTCCGTTTTTAGAAATAATTAAGGATCGGTTTTTTTTTATATATATATTTTTTATTTACATCACTTGGGAATGTAGGGAGTTTTAAGGAGTGCTACTTTTTTTTTTTTTTTTGAAACCCGGTTAGAACCAATTTTATTAATCAATGGACAATTTGTCCATTAGTACATACGGAGAGATTACATCGGGTCAAAAATTCTCCCAAACCTGTTCAACACCAAAAGAAACTAAACTAGCTAGGTGATGAGCAACGAAATTCCCATCTCTACGAACATGAGACCAACAAACAAAATTAAGACTAAAGCTAAGATGAATCATCAGGGACAGAATCAAGATTAGTAAAATGAGTGGTAGCCTTAGAGAGGCGAGAAACAGCAAGATGGCAATCCGATTCAAGGATTATAGTCTTCAATCCATAACAAAAGTAACATGGGGACCATGAAAGAGAAAGTAAGTGAGAGGGGAAAGATATTTTTATTATTTAAGTGGGGATCATGGAAGAGAGAAAAATGATAAAATAATTTGAGTGGGGTTCAAAGTAAGAGAGAGAAATGATAAAATATAGTATAAAGTTACCAAATATCGATTCGAAGTGATGAATTCAACAAAAACATTCATTAAGGTGAATTAATGGAAATAAAAAAACGGAGGGAGTATTTACTAAAATGACAGTATCGTAAAAACTTACTCCAACAATTTTTACAGTTAAAAAATAATGACACGTAATTTGAAATGTTTCCCAATATGTATGTAAAACAAGACATTTATGTTTTTTTTTTCTTTTTACCAAATTTTTTTAAGAACGCAAACTTCCAAAATGGGAGTTTGCGGGGAAGGCACCTGTGCCACAAAGAATACGCACTTTTCCTTTCGCTCTGCTTTTATGATCGAGTTTTTTGCAATGTGAATAAGCTTAAGAGGCACTTAACTGTTGATCCTTTGTGCCATCGCTGCTAGGCCCATACAAATGATGAAATGAGACTTTGCTCCCTTTATTGAGAGATTGTCCTATTGCTAGGAAAGTTTGGAAAAATGTGGGAAGAGTTGCTCTTTATCCATCTATCTTTCTTTGCAGGTGATTTTAATGCTTGGATGGTGCGCAACCTAGAAGCAGATGACCTTATTTTCTCAGAGAAGTGCCCACTAGCTTTTGCTACTACTTTATGGTGGTTATGAAGATGGAGAAATAATGCTTTGTTTGGTAGTAGTGAAGCAATACCAGCTGATGTTGGCTCTTTTCTTTGTGGCAAAATTGACGAGACTTGGAGTGTGTTCTCTAGAGAGCATACCTTAAGCCAGCTGATAGCTACTCCTAGAAGACTGATGAAGGAAACATTAATCAGATGGTTATCTCCCCCTTTGAATTGGGTTGCCTTAAACACTAATGGAGCCGCAAAGGGGGCACCTGGGCTGACTGGAGGTGGTGGTATTTTACGAGATTGTGCTAGCAAATTCTTAAAGTGTTTTGCTGCTAACTATGGTATTTGCACAACCTACAAAGCCGAGCTCCTAGCAGCTGAAATGGGACTTAAAATGTCCGTCGGAAATTTCCAATGGAATCAAAATCCGTCGAAAATTTTGACTTTTCCGGCTAAAAACATGTCCGTCGGAATCTGTTCGTCGGGAATTAGACTGGTTTCTAGTAGTGTTATAGATTTACAAGTAATTGGTTAACCATTTAGTAATATACTTGTATCCAAAAACATTACTCCGTAATAAGTACGTAGTCATTCGATAATTCTCTTTTTTCTTATTTAGGTAGCGAATACGATTTACAAACTAAAAAAAAAAGTATTGCGAATGAAAATTTCACTAATTAAATGTGGGAGATTAGGATATAGGATAATTAAATCCTAATTACTTAAAAGTATAGTTTCTACTCTAATGGATATTCTAAGCAATATTAAGACTGATTGGAACACCGGCAACCTTCACCCAAGGAGCACCTGCTAAAAAAGTAGCAGCAGAGTAACGTTGGGCTGTAGTCTTATCTAAAACCTTAACTTGTGGCCACTTAACCCTCATAGCGGTATTGGAGCCTGGTCCACGGTTAGCATACTCACCATAGAAAGCAGTCAAATGGTTATTTTTTCCTTCTGGTGATTGCCAAGAGAAATAACCAGCTGGTTGGATTAAGTCACCCATGACAGTTTCCATGAATACGGTTTTTGCGTAAGGCTTCCATGGACGGCCTAAGTAAGTTGCAACCTTTAGCCTTTCTGGAAAAAGATCTGTCCCCGCTACGATTTCACACCCTTGGATCACAATCCCCGTGGCCTCGTTAGCTGCTATCCCACCCTGAGCTGTGACCAGATTTTGTTGTCCAGGATTACCCCTTCTTGCAATGATTTTTGAGTTCTGGATCAATGAAGCACCATTGCCAAAGATGAAATCGACAGTTCCAGATATTTGACAATCGCGGAAGAACTGGGATCCACCTTGGACGTATAGAGTGTCTTGGTAACCATCAAAAAAACAATTTTGGAAGACTGCTTGTAAACCATTGACCCTTAAAGCTACAGCCTGATGCCCTTGTGGCCCTGCAGTGTTTTGAAACCCCATATCCTTGCAAAAGAACCCAAACCCTTCGACTTGGAATGGAGCAGTTTTTGATGTCTGTACACCTTTTGCAAAGCTCTTATCACCCATAACCACTGTTTTTGTTGGGCCATCACCGTACATGAAAACGTTATTATGTTGTTTTCCTATCAACACATCCTCCTTATAGATGCCGGCCTTAACATAGATAACAAATCGACCTTGCACCTTACCTGGATGCGTCTTGAGAGCATCTACGATGGTTTTAAATTGACCACTACCATCTTGGGCAACTATCGCATTAGGCTTCATTCCAGGTACAATAGCAGTAGCAGCAGCAGCGGCACCTGCTCCTATTCCTGCTCCGGCTGCAACACCTTTGCCCTTATTTATTCCTTTTCCCTTACTTTTCTTGCCCCCCTTTCCAGAACCTTTACTTTTGTTGTTCTTCGTTTTTTTAGAGCCTTTGTTTCCATCGCTCAAAAGCCTACGGTCTGAGGAAGATAACCATGTAGGATTTCCCTCTCCATCAATAGCCATGCCAAGAAGGTGACGATTATTTGTGGGAATATTATTAACATCTAAACCTTCACCAGTAGTCTTAGCCTGCTGAACCAAATTGGTAGCATTAATCGAAAGGTCTAGACCGGAAAGGGCTTCATTAAAGTTGGTAACAATGTCCAGCATGCTTATAGTGACCTCGGTGGCATTGACAACACCATCTTGCATGATTTTTTGAAGGTCTGGAGCCTCGGCCTCTTCAAACTCGTCCGCACAACTAGTAGAAAATGTGACAACATCGGTAAGCCAAAGGCGAAGGCTCCATACAAGCCCTTTGTCCTTATATATATTAGGATCATGGACTTGGTCAAGAGCCCCATCAAGGCGATCTATAGCGAGGTCAAACAAGTTCTTACAACTTTCAATAGCCATATTGGCCATCTCCGGTTTCTTGGTTGCATTGGCTTTTGGTACAAGCGTGTCAGTGAGGTTGGTGGCTCTTGCTATCTCCTCTAGTGCTAACTTGACACCAGCTTTTACATAGTCATGTGGTGTGGCGCTTTGGTTTTGTGCAACCGAGCCTAGGCTCTTGATGCATGAATCCTTATATGTCGTCGGACCACATAATGCATTAACTGTCTTCATTGAAGATGACAAGTTCTCATCATCTTTACCACCTTCCTTGTGACTATCACCCTTATCTCGATGCACTACTGCCACCACTCCAATTACAACTCCTACCACCAATATTATGGATATTACTGATACTACCACCTTTCCCCCCATTTTTTGATATTTTTTTTTTAACGATTATCACTTATGTAGCAAATAATATATCGATGGAATAGAATGATTTATGTATTTGATAAAACCATAGGATTTTTTTGATTTTTCCTTTTGACGAGTTTCTTATTTACAATAATATTTTGTATGTTATTAATTCATACAATAGAGAGGGAGAGAAATGGGAGTTCGTTTGCCCCTCTATTCTCTTGACTCTCTTTGTCTATTTTATTCGCAACTATTTATTTTTTTATAACTTGTAATAATGCAATTAGTTATATGGGGTTATATACTTTTTATACTGGTTTAATGTTAAATATAATGAGAATGCTTAATTTAATATTGTCCCCTAATTTGTCTCGCATCCCTTTATTTTTTTTTAGCCTACCCAAAATACTACTCCGTACTATTACAATATGATTTCTATGTGGCTTACCATTTTTGGTGTGACTTTTATGGTTTGAGGAGAGCTCATTTACCGCAGGTTGCGGGGCAGCAAAATTTTTGAGATTGTTTGTGATGTCAAATTTAATTTAGTCAAATTGCAAAAGCAATACTTGTATGTATGGGCGTATGGTTGTATGCATCATATACTCAAATCAAGGAAATAGTAATTGTTACTTTCAACATAAAATTTGGTTGGATCATAAATGAATACATACAATAGCTAATTATATAGACATATGGCCTTACTATTTTAATTAAATATCCTTCGGAGTATTATTATGCAAGTGTGCAAACATTACTAAGTATTTAGCAATGACCACAAGTCCACAACTAGGGATTGTTTGGCATTGTTATTTATTTTTAGCTTTATCAAAAACATGAATCAAGAAAAAAATAAATTTACTATACATGAAGTAAAATAGAAAGGATGATGTGAGAACAATTGATCTGAGTATGAGTAAAGTATTACTCCGTCAATATTTTTATTTGCTTTTTTGTTTTTGTTTTGTTTTGTTTTTTTTTTTTTTTTAAAAAAATCTTCCTGTAGCAATTGTGACCAACTGACGTTGGATATGTGAGAGGAGTTTATAATCTTAACATCCAAGCAACAAGATTGTAACTGTAGTTTATGTAAGATCTTGCAGTAATTTGGCAAATCCTTTCGCCAAATAAAGGACATCCAAGCTATGGAAATTGTTTACGAAACAAGCTGAGAGATGGCTTGAGACCCATTTGATTAGTCAACAACAAATAAACGATAACCCTTCCTTTTATGTATGCATACCCGTAACTTTAATGCAATTGACTAGTTCACTCTAATTTAGTCGCGCTATTATTTAGTATATGTTTTGAGGGCGCGTGAGATGTATATTCTTAATGAAATTCTATTAATAGAGGAATTTCAGCTATATAGACATAAGAAATGGAGTCACTTTTAACAAAAGTATGGGTCTATCTATCTTTTTGTAAATAATATAATGGATTATCTTTTGTAGATGTTTATGAATCCAGGTGGAGTGCATGGCCAATTGACCATATAATAATAGTGCTACCTTAATTGTTTATGAGCCCGAGCAATATAATGTGTATGAAGTTATTCCGAATCTTTAATTTGAATTAGAAATTTTGGCTCAAAAGCTTTTAGGTATTAATTTTGTTGGGGTTTTGAAAAACAATAATGTCATCAAGTGAAAATGGTCTTCAATTGAGAAGATCTTTGTCCCACCTAGAAGAAAATATAAGTTATGTCTTTATAACTCTAGGTGTGTTATGTACAATGTAATTATACTGTGTAGATATTATGAGCTTGGCTATATTATTATTGTTGGATTAGTTGTGTGTTATGTACTATCCCTCGTTAGATAAGATTAATGACACTGTATAAGATACATCATTATGAATGACAAAGTGTAGGTAAGTTAGCATAATAATCCCATTAGCATTATATTGTACTGTAGTATGTAGCGTATAATGGGGCTAATATTGTTCTAAGCAAGAACACAGGTTAATCTTGTCCTAGCAAGTCTTTTTGTTTCTTCTTTGTAACCTGTTTGTAATTCTTTTCTGTATTTCAATAATAGATTTTCTAGCATATATATACACACATATATTAGATATTTTATAGTTTCTAGGAAATTTTGACAATTACCACCTTTTATTATGTCCATTTTAGCAATTACCACCTTGTATATGTATATATATATATATATATATTTTTTTGAAAATTACCACCTACTATTTTCAAAAACATCAAAAGTTACCACCTTCTCCACCACATGACATCATGTGGCCCCCCACCCTTTACCTTTCCCTCCTATTTTCCCTTTCTCACTTCGACATAATAGAAAGTGGTAATTGCTAATATATATATATATATATATATATATATATATATATATATATATATATATATATATATATATATATATATATATTGTGCTTGGTGCTTTAGCACATGTACAATCTAATAATGTAGTATAAATACAAAGTTTATCCATAATTAAGAAAGTGTTTGGTGAGAGAAAATGATCGAGTACGTACGTCATGCTAACTAACTTAAGGAGAAGAAGGGTTTGACATTAAAATTAAACCTTAACATCGATCTATATTAAAGGGAAACAGGGCATCATATATTGTGCAATTATTGCATTTGTAGTTCGAAAGAATCTTTTTCTTTCCTTTCCAATTTATAGGGGGGGAGAGAAACTGAGATTAAAACTGATAGGTGGAAACAACATCGAGCATGTTGACAGCAAGCTCCTTAGCATTGGTAATACCATCTTGCATAAGTTGTTGGAGTTGTGGATCATGAGCCTCAACAAACTCATCCAAACAATTAGTAGAAAAGGTGTTAACATCACCAAGCTCGAGACGAAGATTAAGGATGGCTGTTGGGTCTTTTAAAGTGGAATGGAGGTCGCCAACACCCACTTGATCGGAAGCCATCTTAAGGCGATCAATAGATTGTTCTAAAAGCTCCTTACAAGTAGTAAGCGCTGAGGTAGCCCTCTTAGAGTTTGCTTTTGGGAGTAGGGTGTTTGGGAGGTAAGAGGCCTTTGTTATCTCATCCAATGCCATATTAATTCCACTTTTAAAGTATTGTTGTGGATTGTTATTGCCACTATTTCTTGTCAATGAGCTTAAACTCTTGATGCAAGCATCCTTGTATGTGGTTGTTGCGCAAAGTCCATTCATCGTTTTTATCGAATCAACACCGCCAATGTCATCTTGGGCATTGGAATTAGCATGTGCATGAGCATGAAATCGAACGCCATGGAAATGCGCATGAGCATGAGCATGCCCCGTGTTCCTTACTAGCATTTTACGATTAATTAACTTGTTGGCTTTTACCTCTCTTATTCCTAATCCAGGCAATTCAGCGACCAAGATGGACATTACTAATATCACTAGATTACCCCCCATTTCTTCTCCTTTATATATATATTTTTATAGATATAAGAGTTATTTATGAGAGAGCTCGAAAGATCTTATCATTAATTTTTACAATAGAGAGATTGAGAAAAGAGAGCCTTTTTCTGCCTCTCTATCTCCCTCAACTCTCCGTGTTTATTCACAATTGCAATAAAGTTTAGAATCTTTTATCACAATTGTAACGATAAAATATTAAATGGGTAAAGATTTTCATACCACGGATATTTTAAGGAGGAAGTATGTTAAAATTTAGCATAACTCCTCCTATCACTCACATTCCCTTGGTTCTTTTATAGCCATCCATTTTATAGGAAGATATTTGTTATTTAATACCACTTTCTTTATTTAGTAGAGTGCTCCATATAACATTCTTGTTGGTATTTGCAAAGATCACACTAAATCCTTCTTTGTATAAGTCATCACCATCCAATCATTCACCAATGTTGTTTAAACTAATTTTATACTCAGTTCCCATATAATTGACCATAACCTATTAGATTATCATAATTAGACGAGGAAGGCAATTTAAAGAGAATAATGTTACCAACCCTCCTTGTGTCTTGTTGGCATAAATCATTTGCTTGGTTGCACTTGAACAAGGCTTCAAGGGTTGGTAAGGAAGGAAGAGAATAATGTCATGCATGTAAAATTTCATACATTATCATGGACATTCATGTAATTACATATATGTACAAATAAATGCATATTTTAAATTTAGAGTGATATCATTGAATAATCAAATAATACCACTGAACATACGGTGATACTATATATGCATTTAGCTGTACTAAATTTATGCATAAATAGTATTAATGAAGATTCAATTGTATTTTATAAGCTTTTAATAGAACAATCAACATGTGATCCCCCATCCATATGACAAAAAAAAAGGTGGGCTCCACCTACAGACCCCTCTCTTCCTATCTCTCCCGTCTTTTCTCTTTTTACCATGCGTTTTTAAAATATTCTAATCATTGTTATGTATAGAGTATTTACAAATACACAACAATACTCCATTATACATTTAAAGATTGTTCACATTTACTGAACTGAACTTCGTGCGTTTCTTTTAACGGTGGCTGCTCTATTTTGGGTTGGTGAAGAGAGGAGATGCGAGAGGGGCCGTTCACTACTTCACTGAGAGGTGGAAAAAGGAAAGAGAACGAAGAAGGGTGTGACAAAAAGAGAGGAGAAGATGATGCGTGAGGAGAGAGAGAGAGAGGTGATAGAGAGTAGATGCAGGAGAACGGCTGCTTCTATTCTTCTAATGCTAGGGTTTGGGTGGATATATCCTTTTATACCCTTATTTGTTTAAATTTAAAATAGCACTTTTGCGACCGGTAAGACGGTCTTAATTTTGCGACCGTTTGAGAAACGGTCGCAATTAACACATTTTGCGACCGGTATGGCGGTCATAATTTTGCGACCGTTTCGCAAACGGTCGTAAGTAACACATTTTGCGACCGGTATGGCCGGTCGTAACATAATAATTTAATTTTAAATAAAATTTCACATGCATTTTATTTTAAAAAATATATTTAAGTACCTTTGCGACCGTTTTATAACCCAAAAACGGTCGCAAATTTGCGACCGTTATAAAAATGGTCGCAAATATCATTTTTTGCAACCGTTTTTATGACGGTCGTAGAAAAACGGTCGCAATTCGGCCGAATTTTAGTAGTGAGAGCTGATGAAATGAATATTTGATGTGTCTATTTTATTTAGTGTTTACCCCCGTCCCTTGGTCATAATTAGTAGTGTTTTTGGTTCTTTTGAGCCACTTTTATTACTAATTGGTGTTTTCTAGTGTTTTCGTAGATTTGGTTGACTTTTGTAGGGATTTACACTTTTAGAGTATTTTCCCGAGATACTTTGGAGCAATCACGAGCGTTGGAGAAGCACGACCAGTTTTTATAGCCCAGGGCCGGTTAGAGCCATCGAACCGGTGATTAAGGGCTCGGTATAGGTGATACCGGGGCATTTGGACCGAGTATTCGAGACCCGAAGAGGAAATCCAGATTGGCCCGAAGAATTGGAGCCCAATCGTAGTCCAATTAGTGGCCCAAGAGAGCCGCCCGACCAAAGAGGCTGGCGCCCGGAGGCGCGCCCGGCCGGGCGGGAGAAGTAAAGGT